TAGTAAGGTTGATTGAAATTCGATTCGGAACTAATTAAATTAGAATAGTTAATGTCAATTTGCTTAGCTTAAGTTAAGTTTAATTAATTCTCTAAGCAAGCCTATATAAGGCCTATACACACCACTTGAGTCATCTTTTCCTCATCATCTTTGAGCCTACAAGAGACAAACGTGAGAGAGAGGAAGAGGAGACCAAGAGGGTTGAGATCAAAATTTGAGCTTGGAAGAAATTGCTAGAGAATTCAAGGGTATTGGTTTGGAGCCTTAGTGAATTCACCAACTAGAGCTTAATTGAGAAGTTGAGGTAAGGATTCAACACTTAGATTATATAAGTATGATGTCTAGAACATGAATTCTAGGGGATTAAGTTGAATTATGCAAGAATTGAGCTAGTAAAGTAGATAAGATGAACATTTCATACATGTATGGGCATTTCATGGATTTTGAGTTTTGATTTCAACAAATTCTCACATGCAAGGACCTATTTTTGTTCAATTATGGGAGCTCATTGTGATTTTGCACTTTAACATTCCATTTGTACGTGTTTTTGAAGGTTAAAGTTCTTGACAACACATGCATGTTATGAATACATATTATTCAAGTTTGGTTTTAAAGAATTCACTTGCTTTTGAGCCTTGATTTTGTGTAATGAACCTTAATTCATGATGTTTTATAAGTTTCAAAGTGTTTAGTCAAGTTTTGGGACCCAAAGGTTGCATTTTAAGGTTTTGAATTCGAGTTTTTTTAGCTTGTCTAGAAATTCCAGAATTCTGCCTTTCTGCTCGAGCGATGGATCCTGCACTCGAGCGACCACCATTTGTTTTGCACTTCTGCTCGAGCGACCAAAAGTTGGCTCAAATGTAAAATGCATGCTTCCAAAAGTTTACACATTTTACAGACCGCTCGAGCGACAAGAATTGCACACAAGCGAAGACATCAGTTTTACGTTCGAGTGACCAATGAGCATGCGTCGAGCGAAAAAATCAAGCAACCAGTACTTTTGCAGGGTTTACAGACCGCTCGAGCGACCGAAGTTGCGCTTGAGCGACCACTCACATCTTTAAGCATCCACTTGAGCGAGGAAAGTTACGCTCGAGTGAAGCCCTATTTTCAGCAAATTTTGTTAAGTGTTTCAAAGTGCATTTTGGCATCCTTATTGCATCCTAGACATTTTTGGGCCACGATTAAGACGTAATAATGAGGATAAGACATAGAAACACACTAAGAACGAGATGCAATAAGTTAAGTACTATCTAAGTGTGTGTTTCAATTTGTGTATCTGTTATGTTTATGTAGGTCACGCGCTGTAAGCCATCTAATTTGTCTGCTCTGTCTGTCTGTTTTCGGAGCCATCTGTGAGTAATAACTTAGTAAAACTGTGTTCAACTTTATTTATTTTCTGTATGATAAAATAAGATCTATTTTCTAAAATGGTATGTTCTGTACAATGAATGATTGTCCAATTCTGACAATGTACTTGTGGCATCCTTAGCATCATGTGATATTTGTTAGCTATTACCCGGTATCGGAGGTTCCATCGTGGAACTTAATATGTTTGTTATTTGTTACCCGTACCAGAGGCTTTATCATGGGGCTCAGCATATCTGTCATATGTTACCTGGATCTGGAGGTTCCTTTATGGAACTGGTGGTTCCTTTATGGAACTGGTTATATATAACCACCATCTGTTCTATATCTGTCTGTATCTGTTCTGTTAACGCTAATGGATATACCATGTATGATTAAGAATGAACTCTAATTTCTATAAATGAATACAAATCTATTTCTGATACGAACTTTGATTTCTGAATTTGATATGGGACATCATTCAATTAAAACCCTTTACTCTATTATTATTCACTGAACTTCCGCTCACTATTTATATTATGTATGTAGGTGATCAGACGTGTGACCAGGCTCAATGATGATCGCTTGGAGCTTTATTTTGTCAGCTAACCTTTGTGCCTCCCGAGGAGGTTCCGAAAGTCATGTGGTCATGTTTTGCAAATGTATAAGACTTGTTTTCTTTTGGTATATGAACAAGTTTTTTGTTTATCTGTACACTGGGCTAAGTTCTCTTTTGACTTTATTTGTGTGAATGGGTGACGTAAGACTACCGTATTTATGACGCCATATGTATATATATAAGTTTTTGAAAATTTTGTCCCATGTACGTCAACACAGCTCAATGGACTATATATGTTTTATATACTTACTTCCGCAGTCCCTTAATATGTGATAATTTGTTCAGAGGTTATGACGCTAAACCTATAAAGGCGGGTTTGGGTAATGACACTATATGGGCATATCCTACGGATGCATAGCTGTGTATTACTCATCGGAATTATTAGGGATTATTACAGTTCCTTATGGCTCTTTATAGCACTTTTGAGCCTGTGCATGCTTCAGTGGTCCATCGTTTGCCTTTGTCTACTTTAGAGCAAGCCATTACTGAACTATTATCAGAGAAGACTCATTTTGGGACTATTAAATCTCAGAATATGGATTTTGTTCTTGCTACGCCATCATCACAAAGTTCTTCATCTTCACAACCTGCTAGTTTATGTCAACATTGTCACAACTGTGGCCTGCCAACCACTTATTCTTTTGTTCAGTGCCAAGTTCGTGAATGCTTTACTTGCCACAAGATTGCTTCTAGTCATCTCCAACGCAATTGTCCTTGAGCCCCCTCTAATACCTCATCCAGGAAAGGGTCTTCTCGTTCTAGGTATTAATCCAAATCTGGCCAAGGTTCTCACTCTACTGTTGTTGCCTCTGAGGGTTCTTTTACTCACCACTCCACTGATTCCACTACTCATTCCTTCTCTATGGATGATGTTGAGTCTATCATCCAACAGGTGCTTACCAAATCCGGAACTCCTTCTTTTACTACTCTTTCAGTGACTTCAGGTAATTCTCTATGGTATTTTGATTCCGCATGCTGAAATCATATGACTTATGACTCCACTATGTTTTTTTCTATATCATCATCATCTTTTGTCCCCATCATACACACTGTTGATGGTTCTCATATGACTGTTCATCACATTGGTTAAATTTCTACTTCTACTGTGTCTCTTTCTGATGCTTATCACATTCCTGTTTTTCAATTGAACCTTATCTCTGTTGGTCTGTTATGTGAACTTGGTCCAACTGTTACCTTTTCTGCCAATGGTTGTTTCGTGCAGGACCCTCAGATGAGACAGATCCTTAGGATAGGCCGTAAGCATGGACGTTTGTTCGAGCTTACCCATCTTCACATTCTCCACAAATCATTTATTACTGCTCCCATTGCTTCCTCTACTGCATTTACTTTTGTCATGTCTTCTTTTCACCTTTAGCATTGTCACTTAGGATATGTCTCTTTTAGTTAAAGATGTTGATCTTGTCAAATTGCTAAACAACCTGCTTTATCTTTTAATAACAATACTTTTATGTCTACTACTCTTTTTGATCTTGGGCATTCAGATATTTGGGGACCTTCCCCCACACTGACCATTGGGGGGGTCAAGTTATTTTGTGATTTTTTGTTGATGATTTTTCTCATTATACTTGGTTTTTTCTTCTCAAAAATCGATCCGAACTTAAACAGATTTATTATGATTTCTCTACCATGGTTCACACTCAGTTTTCTCGTACTATTAAAATCTTTCGTTTTGATAATGCTAAAAAGTACTTGAATTCTGAATTTCTTTCTTTTCTTCAGGCTAATGGTGCACTCTCTCATTGCTCTTGAACAGGCACATCCTAACAAAATGGACGAGCCGAAAGGAAGCATCGTCATATTCTCGACACTACACGGGCTCTTCTCATCTCATCTTCTTGTCCTGAACAATTTTGGGGAGCAACTTCCCTCACTGCCATCCATACCATAAATTGTGTCCCTACGCTTATTATAGCTAATACTTCCCCTTACGAGTGCTTGTATGGTCCTCTTCCTGACTACACCATTCTTAAAGTTTTTGGTTCTGCTTGTTTTGTTCTACTTCAATCTCATGAACACACTAAACTAGAACATCGCTCTCGTCTTTGTTGTTTTCTGCGGTGTCGTATAGAACATAAAGGGTATCGTTGTTAGGATCCTATCTCTGAGTGACTTCATATTTCCCGTCATATGGTCTTTTAGGAACACAAAATGTTCTCAAATCGTTCCAAGTTTCACCTACCACAATCCACTCATTCACGGATCTTTACTGATCTCTCTATAGACTTGTTTTTTGATGACTTTGATGCAAATTCTAACTCCATGATTCCATAGCCGCCTATGCCTATTGTCCATCTTGAGGATCTTGTGCCTGTTGATGGCCCTACACCTTCTTCTGTTGAGGTTCCTCTTCTACCAGAGTGTCATTCCACACGGGTAAGGCAACCTTCTGTTCTTCTCCGTGATTATATTTTTGGTTCCACTGCCTTTTCCTCTCATGAACCTACTTCCTATCAAGAAGCTTGTTCTAACCCTCTTTGGCAACAAGCTATAACTGACGAACTGCAGGCTTTTGATAAAACTCATACCTGGGATGTGGTTGATCTTCCTCCTGGCAAGAGCACTGTTAGTTGCAAATCGGTTTATAAGCTCAAAACTCATTCTGACAGTTCCATTGGGTGTTACAAAGCTCGCCTTGTTGCCCGAGGGTTTACTCAAGAGTATGGCATTGACTATGAAGAAACATTTACTCATGTTGCTTGTCTTACTTCCGTTCACAACTTATTTGCAGTGGTTGCTGCTCACCACTAGAGTCTTTATCAGATGGATGTTAAGAATGCATTCCTCAATGGTGATCTCACTAAGGAAGTTTATATGCAACCTCCTCCTAGTTCTTCTTCCATCAACCAAAGTTTGCAAACTTCATCATGCTCAATATGGTTTGAAACAAACTCTGCATGCCTGGTTTGCCAAGTTCAGCTCTACCATTCGTGACTTTGGCTTTTCCTTCAGTGCCCATGATTTTGCCTTGTTTATACGTAAAACAGAGCATGGTACTATTCTCCTTCTTCTCTATATGGATGATATGATTATCATTGGAGATGACCCCACGGGTATTTCTAGTCTCCAACAGTTTCTCTGTTGCCAGTTTGAGATGAAAGATTTGGGTTTGCTTAGCTACTTCCTTGGCTTGGAAATTTCTCAAGATTCATCTAGTTACTTCCTTACCTGGGCCAAGTATATTTCTAATCTCTTGGCTCATGTTGGCCTTACCGATTGCAAGACTACTGCTACTCTCGTTAATCCTCAAACTCGTCTTACACCTCTTGAAGGTTCCTTATTGTCTAATGCCACTTTATATCGTCAGCTAGTTGGCAATCTTATCTATCTCACAGTTACTCGTCCAGATATTGCTTATGTTGTTCACATTGTCAATCAATTCATAGCTGCTCCTCGGTCTCCACACTATGATGCTATGATTTGCATTTTGCATTATCTCAAAAGCACTCTGTTTTATAGTCTTCACTACTCCGCCCAATATTCTCTACAACTTCATGCCTTTTCTGATGTAGATTGCGCAGGGGATACTGCTAATCATCGTTCCACTACTGGGTTCTGCTTCTTCTTGAACAACTCCCTCATTACCTGGCATAGCAAGAAGCAAACTCTTGTTGCTCGTTCTAGTACCGAAGCTGAGTATCGTGCTCTTGCTGACACTACTTCGGAGCTTGTGTGGCTTTGTTGGTTTCTTTCTGATATGGGAGTTTCTCATTTTGCTGCCATCAATCTTTGTGATAACCAAAGTGCTATTCAGATTGCATATGTCTTCTATGGTTGCATCAAGCATATTGAGATAGATTGTCACTTCATACGCCAGTATGTTACTAGGGGCACTGTTCGTCTTCTCTTTGTTACCTCTGTTGATCAGACCGCCGATCTCTTCAACAAATCTCATCATGGACGCTTCTCTAATCTCCTTGCCAAGCTCAAGTTGATATCTGCCTTTCCACCTTGAGCTTGAAGGGGGGTGTTAGCTGTTATCTATTATAGTTAGGATTCTTGTATTCTTATACACCTAGGTTTCTTGGCTTATATATACAGGCTTCTCCTATTATATCGATTAATTGATTATATATACAATACATATTATTTTATCTCTCTACTATTCTAACACTTATCAAATCCTGTACTTCTTTCGGTCTTTTTTCACCCCAATCTTCTTCCCAACCATAGGCATAGGGCGAAACCAGACTTTCTGCATATGCAGCCGCATGTATCTAATAATGAATGTTCGGGATTCGATTGACTCTTTGCCAGTACTCTTTTGGGTTCTACACCAATATTTTCATCCCATTTATTGCCATAACAACTTCTCCATGCTTTGTATGATAGAAAGATTAAATTTTACTTGATGAGATATGAGAATGGAATCCCTTTCAGAATGGAAGAACAAACTATTTTATTTCTTTGAATTATGGATACAAGTAGTATCTTTCATGATTTAATACAACAACCTAAATGGTCTATTTATAGTCCAAAACCTTAGGTGTGAATCCTGAAGGTTGTGAGCGGTTTTCAGTTTAATTTTCATATTTTTCACATTTTCTTCTTCGTTAAGCTATTGATCATGGAGCTTCTATGAAGCTTCCATGAACCATAGTCTTCTTTCTTCTAGCTTCTTGATTAATCTGGAACTTTGTTGTTGAGTTGGGTTTGTATTTTTCAACATTGTAAAGCATAAAGGCACCAACTCTTCCGTTCCTCAAATAAATTTATTAAACAAAGTAAACATAAACAAACTAATCATCCATGATTCCTCGACGCCATATTCCTTCATGAATAATATCTTAATTTCATTGTCGCGACAGTGAATTATACAAAGGCATTCTTCCAAAACTCCCAATCCCAGTATTCTCTTCCCTTCCCCATTGTTTGGCATACAAATTCTTTTGTCAATGGATCAAAAGAAACAATTTCAGCGTTCGCAACTAACCATTGCAACCAATCATTCACTATAGGCCCCAAATTCAGGCCTTGTTTGGGAACATGTTTTTTTAGTAACTTTTTAGTTTTTTAGTGTAAAAAAAACTAGTATGCTTTGGATGATTTTTAAGTTTTTTACGAAAAGATGTGCAAAAAGTTGAGAGAAAAATAAATCTTTGACTTTTTAGTATAAGTGGTTGGCTTTTTTATTTTTTTAGTGACTCTTTAACTTTTGATTTTTTGGCAAAAATTACCACTTACCAAACTCCATTCCTCCCCATCATAGGCAAAAAAATATAAAAATATATCAGTTTGTTTTAAAAAAAAATTCTGCCTTTAGTGATTTTTAAAAAAGTTTTCACAAATATTTACCTTTTAAGTGCATTTAAAATTTTGACTAAAATATTAAAAAAATACTTATAAAAAAAACTCGAAAATTGTATTTTAGCTTAAAAATCAAATCAAATAATTTTATTTTAGTTGAGGGAATAAAGTGATAATTAAGGGAATAAATTACTGTTTACCCTTATAGTTGACCCAAAAAAAAATTTGTGACAAAATTTAAGAACTTTGTTCATAAAAGGTAAAAAATGACAATACGATAGAAACTAAACAACAAAAACAACTATAACCAAAGATTATAACAGAAGAAAATATTAAGAGACTAGCATAGGATAAAATAAGTCGAGGATGAAGAGAACCAGAATGGCATTAAGAAAGAGGCTTCAACAAATTTTGACAAGCAAACCCCCCAAACATTGGAAAATCATATATAGAGCGGGAATGGTGTTGTGTTAGTAAGTTATAGGCATTGTGTGAATTTCTATAAAACTACTATAGTGACCATAATAGGTAGCATTGATTATTCCATATGGTTACGTAACGGTTGTTACCCATTTTTATAATTTTGAATAATTGATAACTCATTACTAAAATCAATAATCAAACGTTTTTTTTTTATATATAAATTGGATGTATAATTTTTAAATAATTAGCACCAAATCCTTAGATATGAAATCCACAACAACAATACTAAGAATCATGAAAATAATCATAAAAGTTTTGTGACACTTGGATTACACTTAGAATAAAACACCACACACTAATCAAGGTAATCCAAGGATCACAAAGCTTTCATGATCATTTTCATGAAAAAATTTTCATGATCCCTAACTTTTCTTAATCCCCAATAGCAACCATATACATAGTTTGGTTCCCCCAAAAAATTCTTTAATTATTTGTCAACATTCAGATGGCATAAAATCTGTTTGTGTTTTTTTTTTTTTTAATTAGTAGAGGAATGGAAACACAAGAACAAGAAGTATTCTTTGTAATAAAAAGACAAATCATTCATAATAATTTCTAGAAAACTATTCTTTACAACAACTATTCTTTATTTGTTCATTATCCATTGGGACATGGACATACTTATGATAAAAACAGAAATCATTCGTAATAAAATTCTAGAAAACTGAAAGTTTTTATTTTCTTTCTCTGAAAACTAAAAAGAAACTTACCCACATGTGACTGCATAGTTTGTAGCTCTTCCTCCTCCAGAAAAAGAAAAAGAAAAATTGATCACAGAGTATTTTAATTTTTTATTTTTGCTCAGATTCTGTTTCTGTTTCGGGTTTTTCGTGTTCTGAAGAACTCTTCCTCACAATCATCGATCATATCTTCCTCTTCCCAGTTGATGTAGTGGTCATCTTCTATGTCCCTCTTAAACCATCCACAGCAGCGGTCACAATCACAATCCCACTCCAACTCGCTAATCAAATCCAAGACTTCTTCCGGTCTTCCTTCTTCCCAATCTCCTTCATCACCATAGTGAGAGGGCGAAACCAGGCTTTCCTCGTATGCAGACACATAATAATAGTCATCGTTCAGGATTTGAATCACTCTGTGTGAGTCCTCTTTCGGATTGTACACCAATGTTTGCTTCTCATCCATTGCCATAAGAATTTCACCATGCTTTGTATAGCAGAAAGACACCATCTCATGTGTTTGTCCCACGACATTATCAAACAAATTGAACAAAATAGTCCATGATTCCCCAACACCATATTCCTTCATGACCAATACCTCAATTTCATAGTCGAAACATTGCACCATACAAAGGCATTCCTTCAAAACTCCCAATCCCAATATTCTATTTCTAGCCCGCGGCGTTGGAACTTCTACAAATTGTTCTGTCCATGGATCAAAACAAACGATCTCAGTGTGTGCAACCAACCAATGCAACCTTTCATCCACTACAGGCCCCGATTTCAATTCTCCGCCATAGGGGAACTCAATCCTGTACCAATATTTGGTTTTCAAACTAACAACCAATGCAACTTGGCCAAAAACCATTACTGCTTTATAATCATCAGCGAACGAGTCGTAACAGAGTCCAGAGATATCATAAACTCTCGAGCTAACTCGGTCGCCGGGGCTTGAATTCAGAAGCTTAAGCACTTTTCTGCATTGGTTTGTTGAAGGGTTCCACAAGTAGAGATAAAAGGAATAGCTTACAAGCAACAAACCATTGCAAGAACCCAAGATTTGAAGCAAACCCAACATGTCTTCCATTGGTTTCGGAAGCTGTCTCAACGAAACTTCTCCTTCTTCCTCCACCTCGTCAATAGCGTATAAGTAGAAATTGGATTTGATGATTAATTGGTGTTGTTAATGTAAATTGTATTAACCTACCACTGTAAATTGTATTAACCTACCACTACCACCTACCACACACACTCACCTCCTCACCTACTCCTCACCTAACCTACCACTACCACCTCCACTTCACCCCCTACCACTTCACCTACTACCTCCTTCTCTTCTATATATATGATCATTGTAAACATAACAAATACATCAATCAATCAATATATACACAATTTATTCTTTCTCTTTCTCTATCAATTTATCTTACAGGTGTCTTGTACAAGAAAATTTAAATTTGGAATCCGATATGAGAGAATTCCACCGTTTGCAAATGGACTTAAATCGCAAGAGAGATTTGACCGGCTATCAATACATATAGCTTTCCGTTAACCGCCACCCGAGGCAACTTCTCTCCATACCAAGATCAAAGCAGTGGGTGATTGGTTCCAAAAGCTCAGTTTCCACAAACAAAAAAAAAAAGAGGCAGAAGCTCACAAAGCTTAACTTCTACTTACACGACAACACTCGAGTCGAAAACGCTTAAATCTCAGATGCGCTGTGATCTCGTCCGAATGATCAGACGGCTGTAAAGGACCCATCCATCACGTTGGGCGCAGAAGTCTCATCTCCTGTGAAGGACCCATCCACCATTCCACTGGCGCTACCCAGAATTGGACGACAGAGACTTACAAATCCGAGGCCGTACCCTCTTCTCCATCGTGGTCCTCGTTGCCTTCATCCTCCTCATCACACTCCTCTTCATCTACGCCCGATGGGTCTGCCGCCTCCGCCTCCTCCTCTCCGCCTCCTCCGACCTCCCTCACGCGCCGCTGGTGGCCTTGGGAGAAACAATGAATCGCGTCCTGTCGCCGGAAGAAGCCTCAGAACGCCGCCGTGGAGCGGCCGATTTGGGCGAAATCTTGTCGCCGGAGAGATGAGACGAGGCACAGGACAGCCTCTGAGACGGCGTCGCACGGAGGTTTGCTCTCTCGCCGGCGAGGCTGGCAGTGCTATGAGGCACCTTCAATGCTCCGATCGCCGCCATTGTCCTCCGCACAAATCACCATAGTGAGAGGGCGAAACCAGGCTTTCCTCGTATGCAGACACATAATAATAGTCATCGTTCAGGATTTGAATCACTCTGTGTGAGTCCTCTTTCGGATTGTACACCAATGTTTGCTTCTCATCCATTGCCATAAGAATTTCACCATGCTTTGTATAGCAGAAAGACACCATCTCATGTGTTTGTCCCACGACATTATCAAACAAATTGAACAAAATAGTCCATGATTCCCCAACACCATATTCCTTCATGACCAATACCTCAATTTCATAGTCGAAACATTGCACCATACAAAGGCATTCCTTCAAAACTCCCAATCCCAATATTCTATTTCTAGCCCGCGGCGTTGGAACTTCTACAAATTGTTCTGTCCATGGATCAAAACAAACGATCTCAGTGTGTGCAACCAACCAATGCAACCTTTCATCCACTACAGGCCCCGATTTCAATTCTCCGCCATAGGGGAACTCAATCCTGTACCAATATTTGGTTTTCAAACTAACAACCAATGCAACTTGGCCAAAAACCATTACTGCTTTATAATCATCAGCGAACGAGTCGTAACAGAGTCCAGAGATATCATAAACTCTCGAGCTAACTCGGTCGCCGGGGCTTGAATTCAGAAGCTTAAGCACTTTTCTGCATTGGTTTGTTGAAGGGTTCCACAAGTAGAGATAAAAGGAATAGCTTACAAGCAACAAACCATTGCAAGAACCTAAGATTTGAAGCAAACCCAACATGTCTTCCATTGGTTTCGGAAGCTGTCTCAACGAAACTTCTCCTTCTTCCTCCACCTCGTCAATAGCGTATAAGTAGAAATTGGATTTGATGATTAATTGGTGTCTTGTACAAGAAAATTTAAATTTGGAATCCGATATGAGAGAATTCCACCGTTTGCAAATGGACTTAAATCGCAAGAGAGATTTGACCGGTAGACGCGAGAGGATTTCGATGGTGATGTCTTCTGAGATGTTTGGCTGCCGTGATTTGGAAGGAAAATTGGGTCGTATGAGATTGCACTGTAAAGGGGGGAAGAACAGGTTCTTAATATAACTATGGCCATTCTTTTTCTCTCGGGTTTTCATTGTTTTCCCACTCTTTCTTGGTACTTTTCATTGGTTAATCAAGAACTACTAAGGAGTAACTGAGTAACTAATGGGTTAGGGTATGTAGGGTTTTCATGTATCTGTAGGTAAACTTATATGGGTATTGATGAATGGTCGTGGTGGTGGGTTGCTAGGGTTTACAAAGTGGCTACAAAAAGGAGGAGGCTTGAATTATTGAGAAATTATTTAGGCTCCGTTTGTTTTGATGTTAAAAATATTTTACTTATTTTAACAAAAAAATAAGTAATAAAATATTTTTTAAGAAAAATATTCTTGCATCATTTTTTCAAAAATAACTTATTTTTAAATATTTCACAAGTCAGTTTTTATAAAGTTAACGCTCACTCAGTACCTTTTTAACACATTTAGTCTTTTTAAATAAATATTTTAGCTCACAAAAAAGTCATAAATGACACTTTATTGAATCAAAATTTTTATTTTGGACAATAAAATATTTTTGTTTCAAGTGTCAAATACTGAAAAATAAAAACAAAAATATTTTTTCTGCATAAAATCAATTTACAAGAAATTTTTTTTTTTTTTATAAAATATTTTACGTTAAAACAAACGGAGCCTAAGGAGTATTGGAGTTTCCATTCAATTAATTAATTAATTGACATCTTTTACATTATTTTTTTAATACACTAGAATAAAATATTGGTAATAAGCCCAATTTCGGTTTATAAATGCAATCTACTAAGTTAACTCCTATTAATTAGGCAAATAAATTGGAAAAGTACGTTATCCTCTTGCTTGATCCTCAAGGCAATGTTGCCGATCTTAACTTTATCCTCTTGCTCGAATAAAACTCCAACTATATTCTTGACTTTTTACTAGTTAAAGTACGAAAAAAATATATTCTTTATTTTACGTAATTACTTGAGCTATTGTATTCTTCAACCACATTCTTTATTTTAGCTAATTATTCAAACTAATTTAATTAATTTTTAAAACAAAAAATAATAATTGCTGATATTTTACTAATATAAATTTGCAATAATAATAAATTTGCCCACATAAACGTACAGAACTTGTAGAATGAGGAGAAAAAAAAATACAAAATACAAAATAAGTTATTCCGTAATTCATCAAATAGAATTGAAAGAACATATAAAATTGCTACATACACATATACATATATAAAATCCCAAATCCAAGACATAAATATATAAAAATTCAAGATATATGCATATATATTTGTTTGGAGAGCCTCTGGGACTCTTCAATTGTAGCCACCAAAAAAGTAGGATGGTAAAGTAGCTAACCCAATAGCCAGTCTATTGAAGTTCAAAATTAGAATTACATTGGCTAAAATGCCTAACAAGCATTTTTTAACTATTCCCTTAGAGATAACTTCAACAAAATTTAAGGGCTCTCAGTGATTTACGAGTTTTGTTTTGATTATTTGAATAATTTATTTTGTATGATGTGAATATTATTCATAAAAAAAAAGTTAGATTGATCGATAATCGTACTCTTTTTATATATTATTATTTCCATGCATGTATACCATGATTATTAAGCACTCGTTTGAGAAGAATGGTTGGATTGGGTTGGGTTGGATTGGGTTGGGGGCTATTTTAGTTCCAAAAAGACAAAATAAGTTTTTTAGTCTAATAAGACAAAATATCACATCCAACCTATAATCATTACATTCTTTCTCTCATAAAAAGTCCAAAAAGTCAAAAAGTCTATCCCAAACGAGACTTTTTAGCCCCAGGCTAAATAGTCAAAAAGACCAAAAAGTCAACCCACTTCCAAACGAACTCTAATTGGTGTCTTAATACTTTTTGTTTGTTTTTTTTTTTTTTAAAGTTAGATATGGCTAAATGTGTTTTATGTCACATGTTTATTTTAATTTTTGTTTTAAAAAAAGAAATTTTGATTAATATTATAAAGTAAATATATTCAAATTTTAGACTAAAATTATAATTGGAATTACTTTTGAGCAAAATTATATTTGAATTTTTTAAAAAAGATTTTTAAATATCAAGTTAGGTATGCATATGGCTAGGCTAAACCTTTTTTTTTTTTAACTTTCTATCTTAAAAAAATTAAATATAAAATTATAGATATAGAATATAAATATAAATATAAATAATTGATAATAGATGCCGTAAATAGTTCATAATAAATTTTATAAAAAAAATCTATATTAATCCAGGAATCAATTAAAACTTTAAAGTTGAACAATCAATGATAATGTGCAATATGTATTTACATAATTTTTAATTTCAAAAATCTATAAAAATAGAGTAAAATCTTTAGAGATGCCAACAATATTTTTACTTATATAATAGTGGGAGAAAATACCAATAAATTTTATTTTCATATCTTAGTAACTAGTAAGTCTTCCAAATAATCTAGTGAGCTCAACAGCCCATCTGTGTGGAAATGACAATATAATCCTATATTTTAAACTCATGGATGCTAATTAATACCCATAAATGACAAAAATATCCATATTTTGAAATTATACATTTTCCCAAAATTTATTGAGGGGTTTTTGTACTCATTTTTGGGGATGTTCGGAAAATCTTACTGTTATCTCAGGTAGGCAACCCAAGAGGGCGGGTGAATTGGATTATTAAAAAAAATTTCCAATATTAAAAAATAATAAACACAATATTCAGAATAAAAAACAAAACAATAATTATCAATATAAAAGTAAGCGAGATATGGAGAGAAAATCAAACACTAAGATTTATAGTGGTTCAGCATGCCAGGCTTACGTTCATTGCCCAGGGAACCTCCTT